GAGTGACCGTTCGAAGGGCATCCCGATCCAGGAAAGGGCGTAACTGGCGCATAACCTGGAGCTGTGCAAAAGCCCTCCTGGCCTGTAATATAGCCCCACCCATTCCCCTGCAAGTTAGGTACCTTTTAGATATCACAGTAGCACTGGAAAGCTGCCTTTCAACAGCTTCATCCCAAAATTCTGGTGAAATATGTTTAGCCTAGTAACTTAGATTATTCAGTATAGTAGAACATGGCCAGCCTTTGATTGTGTGCCTTATCTGTGTGCATACACACAGATGCATGTGTATTTCTTAAAGATATTTTTTCCTATTTATAAGCAAAATGATTATCTTATAGGTTCCTGTTACAATTTCCCGCAATCCAGTATTGGAGCTAGAAGTTTATGATCATCAGGGGCATAAATTTGACAATTTTAGTTCTCTTACTATTACCTGGGAATCAACAGAACATTCATTAGCTAGCATAGAGCCCAGTGTGCCCATGGAACTGTCTATGAAAGATCATGGAAGCAGCCAGAAGAAAATGCAAGGTACTGTTCCCCCACATTGTTTTTTTAAACATTCAGTTTCCTGAATGATACTATACTAATACTAGTAATTCCACCCCATCACCCCTTGCTTCCTGGAGTGAAGGTTTGTTCATAGATCCAAGAAGCTATTTGAAAGGAGTGTAATATTTTTTCTATTTTTTAAAACCCCACTTAAGGATTTAAAAAGGGGGGGGCAGGATGTGAAACTATGTAACTTTGAAGGCCAATTTATCCATATGGTCTTGTGCTCTGATGGTTATTCAGCAGTACACACTGCTCTTCCAATTTTCTCTGTCCTTTTTTCTTAGGTCTGCAAACTGTTTTAGTTCATCATAAACCAGGAACAACAACAATATCTGCTACTGCAGTTGGCTATCAGCATGTTCATTTGATCTCCAGTGAAGTAAAGAAACCGGTAATACATTTTCCCCCCAGATTACTGCCCTAATAAGATATATTTTCTATTTCCATTTCCTAATACAATGTTAATATACTTTATTAGCTTTCTAAAATATTCAGCATAATCTAGACATTTAGAAGCAAGACAGAATACTAAAATAGATTTTCTAGCTTTGAAGTTCCTCCTCTTCCTTCTTATTTTTTGTAGCACCTAAATTAATTTTTGTTTATTTTACTTAAATGTCTGAATGCAGGCTTAACCTCAAGAATGTTCATTTATCAGAAAACTGACTGTTTGTAGTTTTAGAGTTAACCATAAGCAATATAATTAGTGGTAAATAAAAATACTTTTGTTACTACTGAGGGAAATAATAAATTGTTCAATCTGAGTTTCTACGCATAACACATTAACTATAATCCCAAAATGATTATAGATGGGCAGTAACTAAATTTGAGATAGATAGATAGATAGATAGATAGATAGATAGATAGATAGATAGATGTTGTAAGTACATTCTGCAAAGTGATTTGATGAACCCAACAGAACTTTGCAATTATTTAGCATCTTCTTCCACCCATCAATCACACAATCTTTCCATATTACAAGCGCTATTAGAGTTTGCACTATTTCTTAAGCAGTATTGCTGCGTATTGAATTATGCTATATAAATTGAAATAAAAATAATTTTAATTAGGAGGAAATTTAAGAACAAACAAAACAAGCCGTCAAGGCAAAAGAATAGACTTAATAATACTTTTACATACTTTTACATTACATATAGTGCATTTATGTTTGAAATTTAATACATGGGATAAGGGATATTATAGAACTAAGGTAAGGTGTTTACATTTGTTACTGAAGATTCACTGATGTTATTAAGCCTCTAAGCCAGTGTTTCTCCACTTTGGCAGCTTGAAGATGTGTGGACTTCAACTCCTAGAATTCAGGGAGTTGGAAGTCCACACATCTTCAAATTGCCAAGGTTGGGAAACACTGCTCTAAGCAGTAGCATATATTTTCCATGAACTTATTGGAGTGCCTGATCTTTGAAGAAAATGTACTAAAAAGAACTGTATCCATGCCCTTGTTGCTAGGTTGAATATGGAGAAAAATGCCCCAAAATACTAAGTTTGGGAAACAGTCAGATCTTCATTATTTAACATTTCAACAGGCCTAGTTCCTGCTTATTATAAAATATTTTTCTTGAAGAAGAGTGGACATAATTTTCTAATTTATGTGAACTATAAAACTTGCATCCTAAATGTGAGAAAATAATGAAGAGGAATATAGAGTAAACTTAATAACTCCAATTCCTTCCTACAATCTACTTTCATTGCTATGATATATCCAGACTCTCAGCAAAAAAAATAAGAAGAAGAACTTGGTTTATAAGTAGTCAGGTCACTGGTTCATTTTGCTCAGTACTGTTGACAGTGAAAGTGATTTTTCCAGGTCTTAGACTTGGAGCTATTTGCATGCAAAGCTTGTCTTCTGCTGCTGACATACAGTTTCTCTATTATTTGTATTTTTGTGTGATGGAGCTCTTATATCTATATCTATATATCTATATCTGTCTGTATATATCAATCATGAATTTGTGTTTAAGTATTTTGAAGGTCAAGTTTTGTATTTAACCTAAAGTAATTCAACTAGATGTAGGTGATTGTTAATTCATTTTAGTAGGAAAGTTTTTTTAGAAAATAATAATAATAATAAATAATAATTTATAAATTTATATGCCACCTGACTCCCATGTTACTGAAGGCTATTCCAAAAAGGGTTTTTTTGTTCAATAAAAATATATAAACAGAAAATTCAAATAATTATTTATTTAAATTATATAAATAAATGTACTGAAGCGTATTTAATTATCAAACCAATTTACACAAGTTACTCATTAGAACTGCAGCTATTATGCTTCTTTCATGTCACATTGAAATTGAGTGTCATTTATCCCTCTATAACAAAAGTATATCATTCTTATATAACACCATGCATTTGTTAAGTTTGGTATTATCATGAAATTAAGGAAATAAAGAGAAAAGACAAGGAATTTGATTAAGAAATTAGAATTAATATGAAGAATGTATGAAGCCAATGTTTCATAGAGGTCATTTAGCAAACACAATTAGAGAAAATGCAAGTTGCATCATTCAGATATAAGCTAGGATTATTCTGGAAAGCATAACAAAGTACACTGCCATTCAGTGGTATAAATATAGAGACACATGTTTTGTGAAAATGGAGGTCTGGGAATGATGAACTTGTTATGAGAACCACATGTTCTAGAATTCTAGAATGGTCTACTGTTTTCCAGAGTGGTTCCTCTTATTATTTATTGATTAGTTAGATTTATATCCTGCCTTTCCCCCAGGATTCAGTGTGGTGTCCATAGCACTCCCTCCTGTTTTTCCCACAGCAAGAACACTATGTTCTATAGATAGTGTTATAGATAGATAGATTGGGTTAAGAGAGGGTGACTGGCACAATGTTATCCAGTGGACTTCCATGGTTGTGGGTGGACATGAATCTGAGTCTCCCCAGTCCTAGTCCAATGCTTCATCACTCTAGCTCACTTTTCTAAATCACTTTTCCACATTATTGTCAGAGTGGAACATCAGTTTTGCTTTGTTTTCTCTCTCCCTCTTTACAGTATGAAGCTCTTGTACCTGTAAATGCGGGTATTGAACTAATACTTGCGGAAGATGTTAAAATGAATCCTAAAGAAGTGACTATTTATAATCACCAAGCAGTTAAGGTAGGTCTGTGTGTTTGTATCTGTGTGGGTGTAATAATTGATGTCTCAGTGTAAGTTTTATAAAGTGTACTTTTCTTCACAGGCTGAACTCCTAATTAATGGGGGCTCTGGATATTTTTTTATTAATACCAGTGTTGCTGACATTGTTAAAGTGGTATATGAAGAAGGTAAAGGCATTGCTCTGGTAAGTATTTATAATGCAAATTATTATTTCTTCTTTAGACAAGAACTATTGAAAAACTACTGTTTTTTCTAAAGTGTATTGGGAGAACTTTGAATCAAGTAATCTTAGAAATTCCAAGAAACCATGGAATGAGAGTCTACCACCTCCTAATTATGCCAGTTAGGATGGTAAGGAGATACAGAAGTCCCTTCTGCTTTGTTTCAAGAGAGCTCTGTGAGAAACATTCTTAAAGTAACAGGCTAGTTCTACTGTAGTACCAGGCTAGAAACAGGAGACTGAATTCTAGTACTGCCTAAGGCACAAAGCCAGCTCTGTGACTGTGGGCCAGTCACACTTTCTTAGCCCTAGGAAGAAGGCAATGGCAAACCACTTCCAAAAATGTTGCCAAGAAAACTGCATGGGCTTATCCAGGCAATCGCCAGGAGTCAAGATTGACTTGAAGGCACACACACACACAAAATATCTACTGGGGGGGCAGGCAGTCCCATATGGGTCTGATGGGCTTTCACCTATAATCTGTATAAACCTACTTTGGTCAGGTTATATTGACCAGAATAAAATTGGTCAATATAACCAACTTATATTCAGCAAAATAAAATTCTGTCTTGTATGAGTATTTTCATACTGACTGAATAGCAACTAATTAACTAACAATTCACCATTCAATCTGACATTCTTAAAACTAATTTCTGGCCTTTCATGTTTTTCTCTCTTTATTTATATAACTTGTTTTATATATGTGGGTGGGTGTGAGAGTTTTAAGTTTGAAGACTGAGATCAGCCTTGGCCACTGCTCTCTGTTGATGTGAGCAGCTCTAGGAGATAACATTTTCTGCAGTGTGGAATAGAAATACTATAAAGCTAAATCAATCAATAAATCACATTGCTTTGTATGGCATTTGAAGTTCTGAAATGAAATTAGTAATGAAATTAGACTAAACCGTTTACACAGTGTCAGACTTTCATAGGATATCTGCTTTAGATGGTTTCAAAAAAATGTGTGAGCTCAAAGATAGTGACAGCCAAAGCTAAAAGAAATGGGTTAATGACATTTCAGAAAATTGTAATACCTTGCAAGATATGACAAAAAGCCATTGTGATTAAAAGTTTTCATTGAAATGTGAAATTGTTCTTCCGGAAGATAAGCTGCCATCAATTTGTGTGGTGTCATTAAGAATAAAATTCTTGGCAGTACAGATGCTTTATTTCCTTCTTCCTCAAATTAAGTCTATATAGTCTTTTTATAAGGTCTTATAAGGTTTTTATTTATAAGATCCTTTCTTGCCACAATATGTATTTTGTTCTTCTCTTCCTGGTTCCAAAGGCAGAATACAAGACTGGAGGCTAAAAGTTGTATTAGGCACACGTGAATGCAGTTGCTACCTACAGGCCCTTTCCACTGTCTCAGTGAAATGAGATTGCTCAGATATATTTTAGAACTTTATTTGGAAAGGGCAGCTTCTCCTTCTGTGGAAAAATGTCCTTCTAAACTTACCATACAATTTTCCTTTGTCACTGTTATTTACCATTTGTTATTTGCTTGAAGCACAAAAACTTTAGTTTTAAGTAAAGAAGTAGTCACAGTAACTAGTTAAGAATAACGTTTGGTACCATTTTCCTTTCTCTATTTTAGATATATCCCATATATCCAGGGTCAGTGTCTGTAATGATCCATGACTTGTGTCTTGCATCTACCACCGTTGCTAAAACTGAGGTGTATGTTTCTGATATACAAGAAGTATATGTTGGAATTGTTGATAAGGTTAGTATTCAGTTCTAAGTGAATGGTTTGCTATATTGTTTACTGCTGGCAATAAAATATCTTACTCAAGTACATAAGATTCTTCAAGATTAATTCATTATAGACAATGGGTTGGTGTTTCAGTTATTATTTATTTGCTCCAAGGGACACACTTAAGAGTGCTCTAAACACTTTTAGGTCATATTCTATTGATACAGCAAGCAGGATCTTTCTGTAAAGCAGGTATCTAAAATATGTAACAAATCTATAGTTAGTTAGCTATACGTACTAACATACTGCAGATGAAAGCAAAATGTATGGCTTTTTCCACTGCTAAGTCAAGAATTCTGATAAATGTTGGCAAGCTATATTGTTTGAACATGGGCATAAGGAGCTCATATAGCTTAATGGTAAAAAACTGAGCATGCATCTCAGTTTGTGGCTTATCTTACAAAATGAGAGCCAATCCTAACTTACCTTGCAGTTTCCTCATATAGTTGTTGAGATAATGTCTTGGTTTGGGCATAATAGTAAGCCTTAGTTTTGTGTTGCATCCACATTACACTGTATGGTTTTTAACTCTAATAGGCCCCAAGTACAGACTGGCATAGTAGACAATAGCAAGCATATGAACTATTTATATGCGTATATGCTATGTGTGCATGTAATTTATTAGAGCAACATATATGCTACTTACCCACTCAGGTAGCATACACTTCTAAAAACAAATACAACTTCACTGATATTCTCAATCACAACCAGGTCAAAAGTGTGACTAAATAGAGGAAAAACTCTGAGCAACATTCCCACATAGAAGATTGATTGATTGATTGATTGACTGACTGACTGACTGACTGACTGACTGACTGACTGACTGACTGACTGACTGACTGACTGACTGACTGACTGACTGACTGACTGACTGACTGACTGACTGACTGACTGACTGACTGACTGACTGACTGACTGACTGACTGACTGACTGACTGACTGACTGACTGACTGACTGACTGACTGACTGACTGACTGACTGACTGACTGACTGACTGACTGACTGACTGACTGACTGATTGATTGATTTTATATGGCTGTCCAACTCATACAGTGACTCTGGGTGTTTTAGAACCAAAAAAAAAAAAAAAATCCAAGATGAAAACAAGCAGTCAGTAACAGGCAATCTGGCTCACATGCAGGAGATAAGCTATTTGAAGTTCCCCTAGAAGCCTTAAAGCAGGCTGAGAACCTTTTGTTAGTCAGAAACTTGCTCCCCACAGCAGATGGAGGGCTGCAGAATGTTTTCTGCTGACACAAGAAGGAATGTGACATATTTGGGGGGCAGATTTTTTTAGATGTGGGTGGAGTTAAGTGTGGGTATCAGAGTTGAAAGTCTCTTGGAAACAGACTGATCTCATTTCCTCCCCTAACCCCCCCCCCCAAAATAACCTGAATTTTGATAGCACATTTTAGAATTAGTTAGTTTAAGGAAGGGAATGGGAATGGTTTCTTGAAATAGGCATCCCTTGACTCTTAGTTCTATAAAGGAAAAGGGGAAGGGAAAAAACTACAACTACCAAAAAGTTGCCGTTTTGCTGCCAAATTTCAGTGAAGCAATCTCAGAGTAGTGGGGTGCAGTTTGGAGGCTGCAGGCAACCAGCAGGCCATGGGTTCCCTACCCTTGCCTTAACATAAAGGGGTGCCTTTGATAAGCCTAAGCTGGGTAGACTAAATGAAATTCAGAAGTTTAAGTAGTATGTTCAGCTAGTGCCTCTACCATTTTATGGCTGAGGTCTTCACTGTGGTTTAATCATAGACAAATCAATCAGAGCACTCACTCAGAGCAGGGGAATGGCACATAAAAACCTTTTCCAGCCTTGGCTTATTCTACAGTGATGACTGGGGATGATACTGACTGTGAATGGTGGAGATATAGTCCAGTACATCTGAGAAAGCTGACACAGAACCAAGTCTGGTTGCAATCTACTGTTCCTGAGAATAATGAAGATTATATCAATTCAATTGCAGTAATTCTGTATTAGTAGACTGACAATGGTGCACAATATTTTAAGCTACAGATAAACAGAATGTATCACTTGAATTGAAATGCAAATATCTGTGAACATGTATTGTAGGTAGAAATTGGCAAAAATGTTAAAGCATATGTCAGAGTGCTGGATGCTTCAAAGAAATACTTTCACAGTAAAAACTTCAACTTCATGGACTTAACTCTACAAGCAGCATCTCAGATTATTTCCTTAAAGTAAGTGCTATGTTCATTTGTTATGCTCTGCCCTAAGTAGGAAAAAATGATATATATTCAAATTAGATTAGAAGCTGTAAGAAATCACAAACTAGTGGAATAACAAAATACTATACTGTAATAAAATACAGTAATAAAAATACCGTAACACTTGTATAACAATTATAAATTTCCCATCATTTGCTTAAGGGAGGGTGTATGAAATAGCAACACCTTTACTTGATATCAGACAGCATTCAGAGTAGAAATCAATGTTCTGTTTACAAAAATTATTTATTAAGTATCTGAGATATATTTGAAGTAACTAAATTACAACCTCAGTCTGGAGCTACTGAAGCCTTATCATACTAGCCAAAATATTTATCATATTTGGAAAATTATTACATTTAGATAATTACAGGTAATCCTTGCTTAACAATTGTCCTGTTTAGCAATTGTTCAAAGTTACAGCACTGAAAAAGCAACTTTATGACCAGTCCTTGCACTTACGACCATCGCAGCATCCCCATGGTCATGTGATTGACATTTGGGCACTTCGCAAGCAGTGGGCATTTATGACTGTCACAGCATCCTGCAGTCACATGATCGCCATTTCAGTGCTTCACAGGCAGCTTCTGACAAACTGAGTCAATGGAAAAGCCAGCAGGAAAATCACAAGTTGCGATCACGTGATGTCCTGCTTAATGGCATGGATGATTTACTTAACAACCACACTGGAAGTGAGGTCATAAGTCTGTCGCAGTCACATGATGTCTTGCTTAACTACCGTAATTCTTAGCAATAGATTTGCCAGTCCCATTTGTGGTTGCTAAGTGAAGGCTATCTGTATATCTTTTGATTATCTTTTTCCATGTCTTGCATTGTTTCATATAACTGTTTCATATATACTTACACTCCAAGTCAATCCTCCTTTATGACAGCTCATTACTTTGTGTTGTTGATATTACTCTGATATCAGCTCATCATCACTAATGAACACAACTGAAAATTCTGCACTGAATTAAACTGAGGCAATTTCTCTTTAGTGCTTCTAAAGGCGCACAATCCGATATCTCCTAATTAATACATTTTATTATTGCAGAGCCCTTGGTGAAACTTCTGATGAATACACAGCTGTTTTTCTAGTGCATGGCATGGCCATAGGTCAAACCAGTGTTACAGGAGTTGTCACTGACAGATATGGTGAAAAGATCTATTCAACTCCACAACAGATTGAAGTAAGCATTTTCATCATTAACTAATCATGCTTTTAGGATTTTTTTGTATGATGATGCTTTCTTATAGAAAAGCTCAACATACAAAATGATTTTAAAAACTGAAAGCAGAATTATTTTAATGGACAAATATCAGTATCATTAGGCAAAAATATGGATGTGGTAATGCTACGTACTTAGCCTGATAAACCAGGAAATGTGTTACTGATCATTTTAGTAAGCATCAGAGCCTTCTTTTGCTTTGCTTTGCTTTGCACAGATCAAAATAAAGGAGGGGATGGGACTGAATGTTAGGCAGCGATTAGGATGGAGAAGACAAGCATGAAGTAGAGGCACATGTCGTTGAGCTAATAATTCAGAAAGAACCTGATTAAAATGCTGTGAAAATGATGAAGCTCCCAAGTTGTTTCAACAGAATAGGCATAATTGCTAGATAATAAATTAATTTTAAAATGAAAGAAGAGATGACAACAAGGAGTGGAATTGGCAGAGCACAGCCACAAAGAAGGAATAAAACACTAAAATGCATTTCGGGGGGGGGGTGGAATTTAAGGGAAGGATAACAACAGGGCAGGATTAGAGCAGAGGGAATGGCAAGCTGCTTTGAGTGCAGAAATTTAAAATACAGAAGAAAACTGGTACAAGAAGAAAAATTGAACATGTAGAGCAAGAAGGTACATTGAGATGAAAATTGTTATGTTATTCCTGAATAGTTTAATTTTAACATTATAAACATTACTTCTTGTCCTACTTCTAGGTGTTTCCTCCTTTTAAATTGATACCAAAAAAAGTCACCTTACTCATAGGTGCAGTAATTCAAGTAAGTTTTTTAAATTATTGTGCTGAATTAATTATTTCCTAAAAGCAAAATCGGTGTATACATTAATAGAAAGTAGTCATAATGTTATTCCTCAGTGGGTGGTTTTCCATCGACCTCTGCAGCAACTTTGCCCAATTTGGTAATTTCCAAATCCTTGGGGTCTACAACTTCCAGAATTCTTGAACTGAATGCTCAGTAGAAGACAATTTTTGAGGAGCATGACTAGTAGGCAATGTTACAACTAAAAAAAAAAAAATGATTTCCAGATTTTTAACTGCCTTATGCTCAGAGTCTACAAACATCAAACTTAAAAAACTGTTGAAAACATTTTTCATCCATTCTGATAACCATTTAGTAACTACAGGTAGTCCTCACTTACCTAGTTGAAGTTACAACAGTGCTGAAAAAGGAGACTTACAACCAGTCCTCAAAGTTGCAGCTGTCATAACATCTCCACAGTCATGTGATCATGATTTGGGTGCTTGGCAACCAGCGTGCATTTACAATGATCACAGCATCCCGCAGTCACATGATCACCATTTGCAACCTTCACAGCCAGCTTCCTACAAGAAAAGTCAATGGGGAAACTGGCAGGAAGTCACAAGTCGCATGTGACATCACACTTAATGACTGCAGGTGATTTGCTTAATGACCGCAGCCGGAACTTACATAAGTTGGTGCAATCACATGACATTTCACTTCATGACTGCATCGCTTAGCGACAGAGTTGCCAGTACCAATTTGCGGTCAGTGAGGACTATCTGTACATTGGAATTTTGTAAAAAAAAAAAAAAAAAAGGAAAAAAACCTCATTAAAGAAAACTTAGAAATCTTTTAAATGACTTTATTATTGAACGTCTTGAAAAATGTGAATTAAACATCCAGGTAAATAAAAGAAAAATACAAGCATTTATACACGTTCTCACCTTTCAGTACATCACCAAAGCATTCTCTGCTGACTATAACTTAATGCTTGCTGTATGTGTTAGACTACAACTCCCATAATCCTAAGTAAGCATGTCCAAGGCCTTGCTAACTTTGGATGGGGGGAGTTTCTAGAAAGCATACAGTTGGGCAAGGATGAATTATATTGTATATGCTTAATAATCTGCCTTTTGCTCTTCTCCCCTCTTTAAAGAACAAGGTAATGACAAAGAGTTTTGTATCAAGCTAGCAACCTCAGTTTGAATGTATTGTATTATTAGAATATAAGCACATTTTACCAGATCTTATGTAATCTATAAACTGAGCAGAAATGAGAAAGTAATTGTTATTTTTAAAATAACTAACTACAGATTACTTCTGAGGGAGGACCCCAGCCTCAGTTCAACATAATCTTTTCCGTCCACAATCCCAGTATCGCTTCCGTAAACAACAGTGGCTTTATAAGAGGCATATCGGTGGGCAACAGTACTGTAATGGGAATGGTTCAAGCAGTTCATGCGGAAGCTGGCAAAGTTGTGGTTGCATCCCAGGTAATGTCTTGATATATCATGCATATATAATACCTCTGAGCTGAAATGCAGGCTTATTAAAAGTTTAAATATCTCTTACTATTTTAAAATGAAGACTGCATTCTATGTAATTGTTGGCAGATGTACCATATTTAGGCTGTTTACCAATACAGTACATAGTAAGCAGGACCACATGAGGCTTAAAGACATGGAGTAACAGATATATCACTATGTTCCAAGCCCTTGTGCCAATCAGGAGGGGAAGGCAGACATGATCAATTCATTAAAGTGCTTTTTAATCTGAGCTGGATCCCAGTCCAGATTTAGTATTAAGCTACTATTAACCCTTAAAATGACAGTTTACAACAAGGCCGTTTAAGCATAACCTTTTCATGAAGGTTACATACACATACAGAGAGAGTTTTCAGTTCTGATGCTCAAGTTATGAGACACTTTCCTTGAGACTCTCATCTGCAACCTTTCCCCCTGGTTTTTAGACTGTTTTTAATATTAATTTTATTGCTGGCTATTAATAATTTTATGTTAGTTTTATTATTTATTCATTTGTTGTATTCGTTGTTTTATAAAATATATAAGTGATATATAAAACCATTTTAAAATATAGCAATTAACATTCAAAACTAACATTGAAAGATAGAACAGATGATGTAGTGACTATATGTTTGCATTTGATTGATGCTGAACTGTCTTTAAGGATTTGTTGCTGAATGATACAAAATTGTCATAGATAAATAATTTGGGAGAAATTAACTTCCTGTCTTCTCCAGATAATGAAGTAAAATATCAGAGAATGTAAAGAGCAGTAGGGAAACAAAATAGTAAAAAAAAAAATGAAAGTAATTGTTACAGGTAGTCCTTGCTTAACACCCCTAATTGGGATCAGAATTTCCTTCGCTAGGTGAAGTGATTATTAAGCAAAAAATTATGAGACCAAACCGCTAAGCAACAGCAGTTCCAATACTCCCGGTTGCAGTCATTAGGCAAGGACTATGCTTCTCCTGTCCTGCCACACTCACCTCCACTTCAACTCCCCCACCCACCCACCTTCCCCCCCTTATCTGCCCTTTTGGCCACCCTGCACTCTGCTGCCGCCTGCCCCCGCTGTCCCCAGCTGATCTTTGCCATTTTCTTCTTCCCGCACTTGGCCGAGGCAGCTGCTGGCCTTTTGCGAGGGCTTCATGAGGCCACACCTGGGCCAGCAGCTCGGGTCAGCAGAGGCCTTGTGAAGGGCCAGCAGCTGTCTTAGCCAGGCACACCTTGTTAGCAGCAGGAAGAAGATGGCAAAGGTCAGCTGGGGGTGGTGGGGGATAGCATGGGTAGTTGGTGGTGGAGTACAGGGGCAGACAAAAGGACAGAGATGGATGGGAGATAGGTGAGTGAGGGGAGTTGAAGCACATGCTGCAGTTGTAAATGTGAGCAGGTTGCCAAGTGGCCAAATTTTGATCACGTTACCATGGAGGTGCTGGCTGTAACTTTGAGGACTGGCCATAGCTAGTCCTAGCTATAGTTCAGTGCTGTTGTAACTTTGAATGGTCGCTGCAGAAGTGGTCATTAAGCAAGGACTACCTGTATTGGGTTTTTATATATATATATAATTTTTATTGAAAGTTTTAACAGCAGTAATAAGAACTAATACAAACTAAAATAGAACAGAGAAAAGGAAAAGGAAAGAGAGAAATAAAAGAAAAAGCTAAAAGTTGAATAAGTAATAAAGTAGAAGAGAAAAAAAGAGAAAGATGAAAGATATAAAGAAGTGGCTTCCAATATTCTTCACAGCAGTTATAAGTACAATTCTATTTTAACCTCTCTTTCTAAAGTTACATCATGGCTCTTTTCTTTCTATAATCTATTCTGTCTAATCATCAAAACCATAAACCACAAGTTCGTTTTTTTCATTTTTACACAAAAAGCCCATAATGGGTTTCCAGTCACAAATAAATGTAGATATTGACCTTTCTCTAATCAAAGAAGTCAGTTTGTCCATCTCAGCAAGTTCTGCCAATTTCACCAACTGTTCCTCCGTAGTAGGTAATGCCAAATTTTTCCATTTTTGTGCATATAGTAATCTTACTTCAGTAATCATATAATGAAATAATATTCCATGGCTTTTTTCTAATTGTTTATCCATCAATCCTAAAATGGAAAGTTCTCGCTTCAATTGAATATTGGTCTTTAAAATCATCTGTATCAATGTATGTAACTATGTTCCAGGAGCGTGCACAAGAGATACTCTTCCTATTTTTATTTTGTTTCTCTTTTTTATCTTTTTTAGTAACTTTGTAATCTGTTTTGAGAACTTTTATTATTGGGCAGTTTAGCACTATAACAAATAATTACTTCTCATAAGTTTTATATTTTTACAATGCAACATTATGCATGTACAGCAGTATTCACATTTTTTAAAAAATCATGTAAATTGTAATGCAGTTCATAAAGTGAATGCTTAGTGACTTGCAGTCCTTATTCAATTCATCTGAACAGTAGTCCTGCCTGTATCTCATATTTATTCCCTTCCCAGAATAAAGAGTATGGGTGAGTAAGTTCATGGCTGTGGTAGAGTTTAATCCAAATCTAACACACACACACACACACGCACAATCAGATCAAATTAAGGATCCGTCTTCAATCACTTGTTCTCTACCTGTACTTGTTTTGTCCCATAAATATTGTTTATTATCACTGGTGCTAAATACTAATTAAAAAGCCTAAACAAGTCTGTGCTCTTGAATCTGATATCCAGTTTTAAATGTACTTTTAAAACAAATCCTGTACTGTTGATGTATTGCTTTGCTTGGCTAGATTTTGATGTTTCGTTGATGGGCAAACATTTCACACGCTGACATTACTTTGATTCGTCATTGAGTTTTTAAGGTGTCCTGATTTATATATCACATCTGAAGTTTCATCCATTATATGTTGTATCTCAATTAAGCTTTAAGTCTTCTGAAAACTTCTTTTACTGGTTTTTTAATTTGGGGGGCGAAATAGTTATAAAAAAATTAAAAATCACACTGAAACTACCTCTTTTCCCATCTAATCAAACTCCATCCTTTAAATTAACACTGCAAGGTATTTCTGCTTTTATTTCTAAAAGGAAAATATAATTCCCAAGATCGCAAAGAAAACAAAGGATATTTACCTATATCAAGCATCTATATAGTATGTGGGAAAGACCTGGGATACTGGGCCAAAAAATACTGCCTAGGGAACAGTCAGATAAGGACAGCATAGCCCGCAGCTGGATCGTGGGCAGGACAAGAGCCTCAGAAAGGACCCTCCCTAGTTTCTCTGGCTGTAAATGAGATAGTGAGAGAATTGTATTTTCAGACTTGCAAGATCCTGTTGATGTAGCTTTACAGTAAAGTAGAATTAGCTCATCTGGTGGTGTTTCCTCTCTGGTCTACCTAGTAAGGCTGACAGTTCCTTTCATTCTTTCATTTTATTTGATTTAAGTTATTTTTTATGTTGATGATTGATTGATCTGATCTGATCTGATCTGCTGTCCCACACATTAACTTTCTGTAATTTTGAATTGTGTGCCATATATTGACACAGTAAAGCTGACTAGAGTGGCTTTTAATAAATAATTACTGTTCTTTCTAATGTTCAGACTCAGATGGTGAATGCCAACAAATTTGAAGGAAAATGCATATTTACAGCACAATTAATTGAATTGGTGTTATACTTTCTGATGTTCCCTTTAGGATAAAGTTGAAATTGAGGTAATTCAGCTTGAAGCTGTCAGACTCCATGCACCTATTACCCGAATGAAAACTGGAACTCAGGTAAATCAAATTATAACATTATTTCTGCTGTTGCTGGAATAGTCAAATATGATTGGTGCTCAATGCAGCACCTTAATGCTAGCCTATTTTTAACCATTTTATTTTTTTTTAAATGTGATATCCCTTGAAAAGGAAGGAAGTTTCCTTTAAGTTAGTCTTTGCTTCCCTTTTTCCAGATGCCAGTATATGTGATGGGCATTGCTAGCAATCAGACCCCTTTTTCATTTGGAAATGCAGTGCCAGGCTTAACATTTCATTGGTCTGTAACTAAGAGGGATATCTTGGATGTCAAGTCAAGATTCAGTGAGGTAAATGTTTATTTCCATATTGTGATTTAATTTTTAAAACTTTGCATGAAACCAAGTTTCATAGAGTGTGCTTTGGGGAAAAAAATCTGAACAGTTTGTCTTCTTCAGCAGTGGATATATAAAACAATCTTGTTTGATATAAAACAGTCTTCTCCACCTTGGCACCTCTAGGTATTGAAACTGCTACTCAGAAAATTCCGATGGAAAGGAGAAATTTGGAAACAATTCTAGTATCTCCAGATTTAATACTAGGAGTTGCTGTAATAAGGATTTTCCTACATTAGCAGGAAACTCCTTTCAATTCTGTGATTGTTATACATGGATTTGTGGGGTGGATTCTAATAAACTTCTTTTGTTAGACCACAGAACATTGGAAGACTAACTTTTTTGAGAGACCAGCCCTAAAATGCTAAGTGGAATTGTATCATTGCCTAAATTAACACTTTTTTCTTTCAGGCTTCCATTCAGCTCTCAGTGGAAAATAATTTTGCTGTGGATGTTTATGGTAAAGGGAAAGGAAAAACGGGGTTGAAGGTTGTTGTGAAAGTCCTTGATCCTTCAGCTGGACAGTTCTCTCACATGGCAAAAGAGTTGACAGATGAAATCCAAATACAGGTATTATGTTGGCAATCCTGTAGTTTAAATATCCCCAGCCCTTTATAGAAGGCAGCTATAATCAGTGTGCATTGTAAAAAACAGATGTTTGTGTACCCATACCACAAACTAAGGACTGAATGGTTTCATAATTTTGCATAATCACAGGGGAAAAAGCCCGCACATTGTTGCCATGAGAATCTGAAACTTTTGGTTTGCTTCAATAAGGAGAACCTGAGAAGCAATACTGAATCTAATATCAAAAGCCAGAAGAGCTATAGATCTAGAGATAAGTTAGTTGCCCTTCCTTGTCTGTCTCTCAGACTAGATGAAATACAAATAAATTTAAGGGGAAAAAGGTGATTTTAAAAATTGAATACTCTACAAATTTCAAAATTCAGTTCTTCTGGTATTGAATTTGAGTTTCTTTTGGCACAGGTAAATACAGTCATGAGTTTATTCATTCTGTATCAGAGCAAAGCTGCAAAATTCATGTGTTTCAGATATTCACAGTTAATGCAGTAAAATTACACCATTTAGCAATAACTTTCCAATTCTAAAACAAACTCTATCTGTTGGGAACTCTGTTAAGAAAGTAGTCCAATTATACTCCGTAGCTAATCCATGAATGTGTCTGGCACCTTAGTCTTAACACAATTACTGTGGTGTAAATTCATTGATTTCACTGAATCTAATTTGAAACAATTGTGTTTAGGATTACCCTGAAATAAATGAAGCTGAAAAGGCATTTTTTGAAAGCTAAAATAACTTGAATAATTAAAGTTGGCTATAAAGATTAAATATATTCTGGATGATTTCTATTAAGTGAATGATCAGTACACATTATTACAGTTAGCTTTGAATTATATGCATGTGAATTATTCAGATGGATTAGTGTTTTCCCTGAATGCATATTAACTTGCACAGTTTTGTTGGAACAGTTACTTCAGGAAGGGGGGGAATGGGCAGAATAGTTTGAGGTCCTAAATGTATACGTTCAAAAGTTTAAATACAATGATTTTAAAGAATGCAGTTTTTATATTAGGCAATTCCCAGTCCAATTTTTATCCTAGTGAGATATGAACAAAAGGACACAGAGGGAAAAAATACAGAATAAAAATAAGACATCTTTTCCCCTAATAACAGGCAGTATTGAGGGAACCTGGACTTTGATACATACCTTTGCCTAGTAATTACCAAATATTTTTCTTTTTGTACCATGACAAACCTAGGAACCAAGCTTAATAAATAACAAGAAACAAAAATTCTGTCATGTATGTAAAATACCAAGATTGCATCTACAGTCAGAGAATAATAATATCTATGTGTCAAAAATAGATAAAAGTGAAAGAAATGCTGTACAATCTTATATGTGTATATTTACATGTGAACACCATCATGTCCAGAGAGAATTATTTGCAGGCAGGATTACAAGCTTAGAGCCTTTTATAAATAAGTGCTTCAAGATTTACTAAATATTTAAATGATACCAGTTTGCATTCTGCCTAGGGGATAAGTGTGGTTTGAAGAGGGCTTTATATTTTATATATGCTATCACTCAGGATTTCTTAAATATATTGATATTTAATAACAGCCACTTTTAAAATTGTGTTTTTAAGTCATTCTCGTACTAAGAACATTTTTGCAATGAACAGGGGCAATACAAGTTAAATGTGAGCCAGCAGATTGACGCAGCTGCTAAAAAGGCAAATACTGTATTGAGGTGTGTTAACAGAAGTATAGAGTCCAGATCATAGGAAGTAATTGTTCCACACTACTCTGCCCTGATCAGACCCTAGTTAGACTATTGTAGTGTTCTGGGCACCATGGTTCAAAAATGATAATGACAGATTGGGCTGAGTTCATACGAAGGCTAGCAAAATGGTGAATAATCTGGAAACCAAGTCCTATAAAGAGTGGTTAAAGAATCAGGGAATGCTTAGCCTATAGAAGGGATAATTCAGGAGAGATACCTGAAGAATTGTCACATAGAAGAGGGGTTGAACTTACTTTGTGTCATCCCAGAGATAGGACCAGAATCGATAGGTTAAAACTACAAGGAAGTAAGTTCAAGCTAGATATCCAGAAGAACTTCCTGACTGAATGAGCTGTCAACCAATGGAACAGGCTGCTACATGACATGGTGAAATCTTCCCTAGAGTTCTTCAAACAGAGGCACTGAATGGAAGTTAGATTAAATGACCTCTAAGTTCCCTTCAAATTCTCTAATGCTGTGACTCTGTGAAATATCATTTGACCCTTAGAATGCAACCATAACTATGAAAAATGCCATTAATTATCTGTATTTGGGGAAAGCCCTCCTAATTTTTTTTTCTTTTTTACTCTGTACTACATGCTGAAGGCTTGTGTTCAAGTAATCATAGAAATGTGTTCTGAGATTTTGCTTTCTAAAACAGAATTATCTAAATCCCAAGTATTCTTTTAACTACTTTGATTTCTTGCTAATGCTAATTACTTTAAAGGTACAGGGGAATGTAGAGGTGGCCAGGATCCTCTGCTAGATCAGAACCCTTCTGATAAGCTATCCATAAGGACTCATAGTATTACTTTCCAGAATATATACATGTACAGATAGTACATATTGTGCCATTTGTGCAACACCTATAGGTTTTACAGCAGCTGTAAAAATTCATAGCGTCGTTATTATGTTCCACTGATCAAATTCGTCTCCGTAAGGTAATACATATCTGGAAGTGAAATCCCTTTAATCCATCACTTCTAACTTAGCACCTTCAGCTATGCAATTCCCAGAGTTCACTGCCAGGAGGACCAAAGTCCTGGTAAATCTGGGAAGTTCCAAGTTGGTGGATAATGTTTTAGCCTATTATGCATATTTTCCAGTTTATTCCCAGAGATTCTCACAGTTCCCACCTGGGAATGACATGTATCTCATTCTACTCTGCTGAGATACACCCTGTTGCCTTCTACTGATTTCAATGCCTGTGTTATGTCTAAAGTAAAAACAAAACAGGATTATTTTTATTGTGTTGAATTTTAACTCACTATTTAGCTCAAATGAACTTTTAAGATATGCACAATTTCAAAAAACCAACATATTTACTTAAAAATATGTGTGCTTCTGCATTTTCCCATAATAAATATTAGGAAGTAGGTGATGTGCAAAAGAACACATTATTTTCCTTTCTTTGCCCAATGTTTTTCTCAGCCTGCTTAGCTGTATGCAATACTACATGTATCATAGATACTACAGGCGTACCACTGATGCCACTGTACCAGCAAAGATGGGGACCCTGGTTTCCAAAACTGCTTGGCTAATAATCCTGTGCATCATTTGAAAGAAGAACAAAAACCACTTCTGCTAAACATTGTAACTTATAAAAGTGTTCAAGTTGGGGGGGGGGTTAAACATAGTGTGGGGGTGTTTCATTTTAAAATAACTGTTTTAGTGCATTACATTCTATATTATTCGTGTAAGTGTTTGAAGATAACATTAATTCTTATTTATATGGTAACTTATCTCATTTTTATTTTCTAGGTATTTGAGAAACTAGTTATTCTAGGAATAGAAGTAGGGCAGATCTTAATGTCAACAAACTCCTTTTTTAAAGTTCAAACAAACAGGTAAGTAAACAAACCAATCAGCTGCTCACGAGTGACCAAAGTAGCTCTCCCCAGTTCTTCCCTCCTGGAAGAAGAAAAAGGCTGGTGCCAAAGGAAAGGTGCCCAGGCGTGGGGCATGTCTGCAGTAGGCCTCCCAGGGTCACTCGCCTATTCCATCAATAGAATAATTTTTAATAATATTTTAATTGGAGTTTTACATAGTTAAAAGCTAATACAGAATTAGAAAAGATATACAAACAAAAAAGAAGAGAACGAGAATGAAAAAGAAAAAAGAAAAAGACATATAAAAAGTGACTCCCCCTACCTCCAAACAAGTATAAACATTTACAGTAACTTAACACCTTCTCTAATATTACAGGGAAAAAAACTCTTCTTCCCATTTCTCATCACTAAACAATAACCCAATTTTAGAAAGATTCATCAGTCTTACTCAGCAAAAGCTGAGTACCAGTACTCAGTACCAGTAGTAATAACCTATATGGTTTAAGCTTAGACAAATCTATTTTGCATTTTGACTTATAACTTTCTCTAATAAGTAAGACATAAAAGATCCCCATAGGGGTGTGTGTGTGTGTGTGTGTGTGTGTGTGTTGTAATTATTGATACTCTTTATACCTATGGGTATATTAAATATACATTACTATTTACTACATCGCCCAGAGTCACTTCCTTGTGAGATGGGCAGTGTCTAAATTTGAAATATAAATAAATAAAAATAAAAATATTTTAAGCTAGATCCAATAGGTCCCTTTTACATTCTAACCCATAACTTTCTCTAACAAGTAGGAGGTAAAAAATTTATCCCCATAAAATATAAATAAATAAAAATAAAAATATTTTAAGCTAGATCCAATAGGTCCCTTTTACATTCTAACCCATAACTTTCTCTAACAAGTAGGAGGTAAAAAATTTATCCCCATAAAATATAAATAAATAAAAATAAAAATATTTTAAGCTAGATCCAATAGGTCCCTTTTACATTCTAACCCATAACTTTCTCTAACAAGTAGGAGGTAAAAAATTTATCCCCATATGAAAAAATCTTTACTTAATCTTGCAATCCTGGTCAAAAAAAAAATAATCCAGTAATAACAACCCAAAATCAAAATTTATACAATTTAACCCTGGTGAAATAAGTCCACTTTGAACTCCTTTTTCTTCTTTTTAAGATGCTTAATCTTCAGTTGCTTCTTCAAATAAAGCCCCACCAACAGGACAATCAGCAACAAGCATCAGAATATCCTCTCTTGGAGATAATTACATAAAAACATAAGCAGTGCTCCCCAGGATTGGACCCCTGGCCCACCTAGGCCAGTAATCTGTTCTCACAGTGGCCAGTCAACTGCACAAGGAAGCCCACTAGTCTCCCAACAAATGGCCTTCAGAGGCAATCGCACGGCCATCAAGGCTAATAGCCAGTGATCCTCATGACTTCCATGAATTCATCCAGTTGTTTTTTGAAGCTAGCCAAGCTGGTAGCCAGCACTACGTCTCATGATAAAGTTGCTGATTGCTCCTAGATTAAGAGGAAACTTTAAAATCAGAACAGATAAGGATGGCCACATTCATGGATTGGGGATAAAATAAGGCAATGTTATGAAGATGTAGCAGAATGAAGAACTTTCCAGGACATGTTTGTGCTGTGTTTAGGTGGAAATGGGGAAAGGCCCTTAGATAAAATTGCTTACAAGGAGACTTCATACAAAATCAATGTATTTTGTACTGTGGGTGTTTTAAATTATACTTTTCTGTAATTTTGTTTTGATTGTGATAGCATAGAAATATGTTTAATAAATGAGTAAATAAATTCCAAATCCACCTTAGATTTTAAAAATGCTTTGGAGGTGTATTAGAACAAGACAGTGTGCTAAGAAATGCCAATGTAACTTGTATAGTTATTATCTGAATGCTAGCATTTGAGTTTCAGAGACCTGTAGCCATTTATTTATTTATTTATTTGTTTGTTTATTTATTTATTTCTCTTAAAATCAAGGGATGGAGCTGCTTCTCTGACTTACCATGTCCTGGATAGTCAAGACAAAGTTCCTGTGGTAGAAATTGATGAAAGTGGTCATCTTAGTTCTCATTCTCAGATTGGACTATCAACAATAGAAATAATTTCCCAAGAATCCTTTGGCATGAACCAGACCCTTGTTGTTGCTGTCAAGGTATTATCTTTCAGTTCCTTTCAATGAGAATAGAATGCTAACTTGCTGAAGGCTTTTTGCTGTATTTAAAATTAAAATTTCCATTATCCTGCTCAAGAAAATAATTGAAGCTTTGAGTAATTTAAAGAGGATGGCAAAGTACTATTTTCATTCTATTCTCTAATAAAACTTTGTAAAATACATAATGTGGTAGTGATGACCAGAGTTTAGAAAATATAATTGCATGATATTGATTGATTGATTGATTGATTGATTATGCACCATGAAGTTGGTGTTGACTCTTAGCAATCACATAGACAGATTTTCTCCATGACGATCTGTCCCTAACCTAGTCTTTCAGGTCTTCAAGCAAATTTGACCTTTAATAAAACATTTGCAAATTCCTTGACGTAATAGATTACTGCAATTAATACCACTGCTAGTCTATTTAGAGTTTTGGGAAGATAACAATAGAAGACACTAAAGAGTGCTTCTTGAATAACCATCCCTAAATGGCTAAAATATGACCAAAGAAGCAGTCCTGCTGTTGGATAGAGCTATCTCAGGGAAGTGAGTTGAACTGTTATAAAAAAGGCACCAAATAGTACTATCACTTGCATTGGTAGTTATCATCATCCTGTCAAGAGTTGGAAAGATACTTTTTGCCTAGGATGCTAAGTAAAGGGTGGGATAAATGCCTTTTGTTGCTGTGCATCAGTCAGGAAAATGAATTGAACTGGTCTTGAATCAACTCATACTTCTGAGAGACATAGTTAAAATCCTAAATAGTGCAGTAAGGTCAAAACCATGTTTATTAGTAGGGTAGTAAGTAATCCAAACAATCACATACAGTATGACTGCTTACATGTATTTTGAGCAACAGCAAAAATGATTTCACATTCAATTTTTTACTGACTATGTCATGCAGGTAGCTCCTGTTTCCTACCTGAGAATATCCATGAACCCAATTTTCCACACACAAAACCATGAAACTTTACTGGCATTACCACTGGGCATCACCTTGAGTTTGACTATCCACTTCCATGACAATTATGGAGATACTTTCCACTCTCAAAATTCCATGCTTCGCTTTGCAGTCAACAGGTATTTGATCAGCATTTGATTATCATAAACTGAGTTTAGAAACATAGATTTGGATGGGACATTAGAGGTCATTTGGCCCAAGGCCCTGCTCAGTTGAGCATCTGCTAAAGCATTTCAGATTGACAATTACTTAGCCTCTATGTGAAGACGCACAGTGAAAGAGAACATTCCAACGATCATTTATGGTACTTGATTATATAGTTTGATTGTCCTAAGGTAATTGTCAGGTGCTTGATATATCAATAGAGTGATGTATGTGCTAATGTTGTATCCCTATATGGCCAACATCCCTGAATTAGATGAAGAAACTTGAAGAATGTAGTTTACAGTTAACATACAGGTAGGGTGCATGTGGCCCTACCAGATTGGTGGGTGGAAAATATTTTTTATTTGTTAATACTGGACAGTGCTTTAGGTTTTAGCTCATAAAGGTGCTTTGGAGCATGGGGAAATGAATGTAGCACCTACCATCAAAGTGTTTAAATCAGCTACATGTCTGGAGGTTGAGTCCTGGCAACTAGACTTCTTTTCTTTTTGGTTAGAGACATTTCGCTACTTGTCCAAGCAGCTTCTTCAGTCTAGAAAGTTGGTGCGGGGGACCCCATAAATGTC